TGGGTGCCCTAGTGTCTCTCTCTCTCTCTTTGCCAGAATTAGCATCTGAAGGACACAACAACCAAGGGTTATTTTCACCCATCATAGCCTGCTGAACAACATCAACTTCAGCCTCATAAGGTTGAATCTTTGAGGCTGTTGTTGATGCCTTGAAACATGGAATCTCATTTAGGAATACATATTTTGAACATCAAAAGTAACCCAAAAGAAGACAATACATCTTCTTTCAAAGCTTCTACCGTATGTTTTGCTTTAGAACATATTTAAACGTATTTAACTACCTTCCTTGACTAATCACATGAGTACCTTGTCCTTAACAGTGTCATACCTCAGGAGGCTGAGGGCAATGCCAAAGTTCAAGCGACAGTTCATGCTTTGAGGGTGGCAGAGCACAACGCTCACTTCCTCTGAGTGGCACTTCCTCCCTCAAGTGGTTTCCTGGGTCAGCAGGACCAGTCACATGCATACTCAGCATGAAAACTAGTTGCACAATTGGGATCAAAGAGTTAATAAGAAAAACGAGGAGCAATCTGTGGGGGTTTTGTGCTTTAATTCAATTTCACCAAGAATAGGTAACCTGCAGCTACAAAATTTGATAGCAAGTTTCATTTCACACAGCACTTTCTTTTAGCACGTAAAACAAATGTTTACTGTACTAAATACAACATGTTTGACTAAGTGTAGAACACAGGAACCAACATGTTGGTTTCAATTTGTTCTGCATATCACTGGAGGGTCTAATCCTTTCACAACTCTATCTAGCCACCATCAATTTTTCATTAATCATTATGTTTCAATGGGGAACACTGAAGGGTGTTTTCTCAGATTATAATGAAGTGAGAGGCTAACGTCATGGTCTGTTTATCTTCATACTTAACATAGTATAATTATTTTGGGTTTTTTTAATTCAGCTAGGACTTGCACCTTGACTTTTGTAAACATAGGCAGTTCAGTTTTCATTGTTAAGGATGTTGACTTAACAGAGTATAAAATAGGAATCTGGGTATGTGAGAGCAGCACATTTAAAGTCTAACTTTCATTTCTCCTGCTGGTTATATTCAGCGGACTACTGAATTATTATTCAACTGACTACTCGCAGTAAAACATCAGGACACTTAAAATAAATGCTAGACTTCATGCTGCTATAATGAGTGAAGACTTTTCTGAAAACAATGAAGGAAGTCCAGACATCCATACGATAGGAGGAGAAGAAGGAAAACTGGTTTACAGGATTCCACCCCGAATTCCCAGCTCTCACATAGATGCCAAAAATGGTCTTTCTGTGAGTGTGGATGAAGCAAGATTTCTCGAAAAACCACCCCTATCTTACATAGCCTTAATTGCAAAGGCAATTCTTTCTTCCCCTACAAATAAACTGAATTTAGCTGCTATCTACAAATATATTGAAGATAATTTTCCTTTCTATAGGAACAAAGGTCGAGGCTGGAGAAACAGTGTAAGGCACAACCTTTCACTAAATGATTGTTTCATCAAGGTGGGAAGATGTGAGGATGGCAAAGGAAACTACTGGAGTATCCACCCATCAAATTTAAATGACTTTGTTCACGGGGACTTCAGGCAACCTCGAAGGTCACGAAAGCGAGGGCGTCAAAAAGAGCTAGAGCATTGCCTTGCTGTGAATTATTTCATGCCATGGGAACACTATCCCTCCTACCCAGCACCAAACTGGCTTTACCAAACACATTATTTTATGGATCCTCTGTGGAAAATGCTGTATGCTGACAGACTGCAGTTTGTGCATGAATATCAAAAATGGAATGTAAACAGTGATTTAATCATGGGGAAGTTTTCACCTCCACCACAGACTGATAAACCACAGAGCATTTCTGTGGACTGGTTTTATGGATCTCCTGCTACTTCAGTTATGCAGCAGAATATTTTCCTAAATATTCAACAGGCTTTCCCTAATTCCCTTCTCTTCTCAACAGCAGCAACAAAGTGAAGCATTCAGACACATCTGTAAGTACTAGAAAGTACTTGAAGTGCAGTAACTTCACAGGCAGCTCTGTCTGGGACTCCGTCAAGATACAATATATTAATATATACTGCTCAGGTTTGAACATTTGTGTATGTTTAAAGACAGCAAAAGAGCTTACTTAATTATGTAAGCCAGTGATTACCAATGATTATTACCTAAGTGTATTAGCTTTGAAATGACAACAATGAATACTGTTTTTAATAATGCTACTCGTCAGTGGCAGTGCATAGACTATTTAGTATAAGAGTAAATCCATTAGCACTGATTGCCCAATAAAATAATTTTTAAATTGTCTTGTATTAATCATATTACTGTATACTACTGCTCTATTAGATTCAAATGAATACACATGTATGTGTACTTATAACTATATATTCAAACATGTACACCCATATATTTACTTTTATATTCTGTTGAGTAGGAAGCATTAATACGTTTTTCCTTTGTCAGTTGCAAATGTCTTTGAAATGCTACTTGTCACCTCCCATACTGCTGGAAATACTAAGTGAGCTATTCTAATAATTTAATTTTATATGTTGGTTAGGACTCACTTGGCACTATTAATTCCAATGCATTGTATTGATCCAAAATCACTGTACATTGATGTATCCTTAGCATAAAGTGGATACTCGCTTCTGTTTGAATAAATGTTCAGATGAATAAATATTTCAAGTGAAATAGGATTGCAATATTATCTTTAATATGGGTTTGAGTTCAAATCTGGTTCTTAAATGCATAGCCACATATTAATTAACCTACTTAAATGATTAGTTAATGACAGCATGACTAATTATGAGTTTATCCATTAGTTTGACATAATCCATTTAAGAAATTTTCATTTTTCAGATAATGTCACCTACGCAAAATTGCTTAAGCTTATATCTATGCTTTTAGTTTACATAGTCATATGTATGTACATGGTTGCTTACATAGTTACAGAGTAGACAATGAGTAAAGCACTCACTTAAAGATATTTGTTAAATGTATGTATCTATCCAGCAACCTCATTGTAACAGGAACTTTTAACCAGGAAAGTGTAGCAAGCATTCCGGTGAAAACATCCAGCTCACATTATAAACTTTCAGAAAAACTTGCTTTGAAATATTTGCTCACTGAAAATGTAGTTTTGAGTAGTAAAGCCCTAAAGACTCTGTTGTGCCTCAGTCACAAAGAGCCCTAGCGTGTGGAGAAAACTTGAGACTTGGACAAAGATGGGGGAAGGCGGGGTTCAGGGGCCGGCCGATGGGGAGACCGGGCTGAGGAAACGGCAGAGAGAACTGGGGTTGGAACAAGGAGCTATGAGAAGCCTGAGGAATACAAACTGTGAATGCCAGGCAATTATAATCAGATGAAAATGAAAGCTAGGGATAAGAAGAGTCACAGCAGGTTTAAGGAGTAGCAGGTGGGGAACGTGTCTGCCTGCTATAGTTTATGTAGTAGAATGCCTGGGATGGAATTTAATACTCACAGTTCTTTAGCTGTCAGCAAATTACTTTAAAATTACACAAGTTACTCCTGTTTGTTCTCACTGGCTCCATTAGCTTACTTGGCAAAAGCTTGCGAAGTGCACCTGAGGATATTCCTAGAAGGACACAATGCCATTTGACTTCATCTTCCCTGCTAATTAAGAGTTGGAGGAGGGGAGTAAGTGTATAAATGGCACTTTGCTTGAGGTAATGTGACCTATCACTTAACAGGACATCCTTTAAGCCTGGAGTTACCATTTTAGTTTGTTCTGAAAAAAAGAATTGCATTTTACCAGATTAGTGATGCTGGTGGAAATGTGGCATGTACCAAACCACACACATGCTTCCGGATCTTCGTCCCAGTTTCCTGTGGGAATGCGATAAGAGGATCTTACATGCAGGAGGAGACATTCTTCTGCTCAGATGCTCAGATTTTATTTGAAGACCACTTTGAAACCGTTTTCATACCACTAGTGGTACACATACCGTAGCCTGAGAACTCCCATCTTAGATATTTCCAGTCTGATTACGTAGCTGTCAGTATGCTTTCTGAGGGTTTTTTTCAATGTGTTTTAATTTTTTGTTTGTTTGTATAGCACCCGCATGCTGCAGTGCAGGAGGATTCTTTTCATGTAATGAGCAACTATTTATTTTGTCCTCATCATTCAGTGGGTATCTGTGGCTTTCTTACTGTGCATAGTTCAAACACTGCTCTGAAGACAAAATTACCCAATCGCTATTTTATTATTATCCTTGAAAGCCATAATATAATTTACTTTCAAAATAACCTGAGAGATGAGGAACATCTTGAAACATAGGTTTAAAAGACTGAGGTCAAAATTACATGCTCAGTTTGGACATCACGTTTGTGAAATCATTGTGTAGCATTTTATGTGCTCAAAGCCCAGCTCCCATTGCCCTGGCTTTCAGCTTTAAGTGTTCAGAACATTTCCAATGATCCCAAGCAACAAGCAAACCAGTGACCATCTGTGAAAAGTTTGATTTCAATAAGCTGTCCAGAAATACTGCAGCAGATGAGAGAGAGGAATCCATCTCTTAGGCAAAATTCAACTGCCATAACAGAGACAACCCTTTTTCTTCCTGCAATCCCCAACTGAGTTCACTAAATACCTCCCAACTTCTGCAACAAAACCCAACACTTCTTCATTATGCAATTCTAACTAATCTACAAAACAGGTCTACTTTGGATATTAAATAAGGCAAGGGAAAAATAGACTTTTTCATATAATTAAAGGCAATATTGTAAATGCCTTCAACTGAGGTAAGGGCCAAGTTAGGAATGCACAATTTAGGCAAGATGCCATTTTTTCCCCCTAGCTTCTGAAAGCTTGACATTGCAATCTTAATAATGTTTTTCATCACAGCTGAAGGGGTAGGGTTAGTATGTCATTTTGTGATGAAAATGTCAAAGTACTAATTTGCAAACAACCTGAAGTAAAAATTTAAAAGCAATAAGAAACAAATCAAGTTATGCATTCTACCTGATTTCCAAACCCCTAAATCCACTTAGCATATAAAAATAAATAATTTTCTGATCTTGAAATATCATCCTACAGCTAGAGAGGACATTAAATTTCTGATACAGGAAATTACCATTTAATGAGAAGACAGAAAGGTTCTTGAAAATTAAACGGATGAATTACATGCTTGTACAGGAATGTCTGAGGCAGGACATGTGGTGTAAGAGACTCCTTAGAAGTAAAAACAACAGTAACAAATGCTGAATTACAGAAAATCTGACATGAACAAAATATCCAAAACCTGCATGTTGACAAGTTCAGCATTTTCCAGCCGAAATGCATTAAGGGGGTTGATAAAAATGTCAGGAAGTCAGAATCTCAGCAGTTTGACCATTGTCACCTATGTTTTGCCCATAAATAAGACAGAAGTCATCTTTTTACAGCAGATCTACTTTGGGAGTACACAGATGAAATGCCAGCGTATGACATAAATAGCTGAAATGGAGGTCACATATGCTCTCATAAATAAATACTGCCAATTGCTCTCCTCTTCTTTTTGCACTAAAGAGAATGACTTCTGCTAACGAAATTATATTTGAACCATACATTTGCTAACACTTTCAATAAACTGTATCTTAATGATGAGCAGTAAGAGAACTAGTCTGAACATGAGAACCTTTTATTAACAACACTTTACAGGTAATAATTTTAAGCCAGATAACAACATTGCCTTTGCAGTTGACCTTCACCAGTTTGTACAAATATTTGTTCTAAAAGTTCGATAAAATGTCTCAGCCTATAAAGCCCAGAAAGTTAGTATACAGTTTAATTTCTGGTACATTTGCTGCCCGGCACAACTGCTGACTCTGAGACTTGTCTTCTTTCATACTGAAAATAACCACTGTCTGGGGGCACAAATAAAAGCTTTGCAGAAAAAGAAGCCTCCAAGCTGTATAGCCACTGAAAATTATGCACACTAATTTATGCTCACCCAACAATTATCCATTTCTTGTACTCCCTGCAACAGGTCATGGAAGACACAACTCTCCCCTTGGGAGGCAGCAGAGCACAAACACCTCTTCCAGCATGGTGAGGGTTGTGGACATGGATGCATGGGGATATGCCAGGTTTGCCCTGTAGTGACACCATGAGGGAAAAAAAGAAAAAAAAGGAAACACTCAAAGCCTCTTTGGGAGTTGGTGTAATCGGAAATGAGATTATGAAAATGCCCCAATCACACAGGAACAATATAGCATCACTACAGGACACAGCTGTGGCTGATTGATTTAAATGTGCCCTCCTGTACCTAAACCTTTGAATTTTTTTGAAGTGTAATTTTAACCAGGACTTTCCCAGGTTTGTATTATCTGGCCTGTGTATGTTAAAACTATGCAACAATTGTAACATCCCTAATCTACGTTATACACCAAATAGTGATAATTACTTGCAAATTTAATTCCATCTGTATTAGGAAGGTGTAGTGTTGTGCCAAATGGATCATGTGGACATGGGTCAAACTACACAATTTTTGTACCATAAACCAAGTTTTGAACCTTTTTGCCAACACAGACTCCTGACCAGGTGCATCCAAGCACCTGAGAAATGCCCTGGAAGGGCTGTCTTAAATGGCAGAAAGCCACCGTAGCACCCATGTACCACCTTGCATCAATGGTACTTTGGCATAGAGGATGTGGCTGAAAGAAACTGGAGGTCAGACTCTCCTGTGATCTTTAAGGCTGTTTTAGTCTACGTTTACACTATGTTTAGGTAGGAAATTGGATATAACGTCCATGAATGGCTCTGCATCTTATCTCTTCCCAGTACAACTGAGGACCTGGCCAGCTGCATTAATTATTTCATCCTCTCTTCCACCTCCTCCACCAGCGTTTACTCTGTCCTTCTGTGTCTGCATTTACTTTGCTGTCTTCCAGTTCCAATCTGAATTTCCCACTTCAAGTTTTCCTGTGGCCCTATGTCCTGGTTTCGGCAGCGATAGAGTTAATTTCCTTCCTAGTAGCTGGTACAGTGCTGTGTTTTGGATTTAGGGTGAGAACAATGTTGATAACACACCGATGTTTTAGTTGTTGCTAGGTAGTGCTTACACTAGTCAAGGGCTTTTCAGCTTCCCATGCTCTACTGACTGAGGAGGCTGGAGGTGCCCAAGAAGCTGGGAGGGGGCACAGCCAGGACAGCTGACCCAAACTGGCCAAAGGGACATTCCACACCATGTGACGTCATGCTCAGTATATAAAGCTGGGGGAAGAAGAAGGAAGGGGGGGACATTCGGAGTGATGGCGTTTGTCTTCCCAAGTAACCGTTACGCATGATGGAGCCCTGCTTTCCTGGAGATGGCTGAACACCTGCCTGCCCATGGGAAGGAGTAAATGAATTCCTTGTTTTGCTTTGCTTGCGTGCACGGCTTTTGCTTTACCTATTAAACTGTCTTTATCTCAACCCACGAGTTTTCTCACTTTTACCCTTCCGATTCTCTCCCCCATCCCACTGCAGGGGGAGTGAGCGAGTGGCTGCGTGGTGCTCAGTTGCCAACTGAGGTTAAACCATGACACCCTTCTCTG